AGCTGCCTCTGGAAGGCACCGAGATGTACCTTTTTGCGCAAATGGTCAAATCAAGGTTTTGTAACGCGAGCTGTGCCACAGTGAAATGGAACTAGCCACAGGAGTAACATGCGAGGCTAGAGCAGCTTGCTCCACCTCTAGTCCCGGTGAGTGAGTGAGTATTCTTGATACGAAACCACGACGACACACACCAGTCGACTCGCATCGGTTGCCTCCATGAACGGCGGAGCTATTCTCGCGCCCACACCACACCTGGCTCCAACGTGGACACGCCCATAGCTGGGGACACTACTAGGTCACGCATGGCATCACAGAAGTTTTATCTCTGGGCCCCGAAAGGCATCTCTAGCAGTGTCGTTACACATGCCCCCTCCCCTCCTGGGCGCATGCGCCTCACGTCTCGCCAGAGCATAAGCCCTTGGCGTGTGGCGAGACGAGTTTTTCGCCATCGCCGCGAGCAGCAAGCCGCCCGCCGCAAACAGCCGGAGGCCTCGCCGCGGCACTGGCTGCGCCGCGGTCCCGCACCCGTCGACGCAGCTCCCCCCGCGGAAGACCGCGCGTAGCGACGTCTTGACGATCGAGATGAGCGTGCCTGAAGCTCGCCCACCTACTGCCCCTGAGAGTTGGTTATTGAGTGGGATCAGCTCCCCCCCTTGGGATCGAAGCCGCCACAACCTCACACCCAACATCCCAGGCGGGATCAGAAGGGGACTCCACACCGGACACCGCCCGGGCACAGCCCCCCTACCCGTCGGATCGCACAGAGGGCCCCCTCGGAGCAGCCCACACACAATCACGCATCGGCAGATTGAGTGCCTGAGTCAGGCAGACAGCACAGACAAGAGGAGAGAGAGGAGAGAGAGAGAGAGAGAGAGAGGAGAGAGGAGAGGGTGAGGGTGTGTGCACACGTGTGGAGAGGGAGTGTGTCTGTGGTGGGCTGTAGTCATACTACGTGGTTAGAACCACGCGCCCCTCAGGAGCTTAAGGTAGAGCTGAGCGTCCAAGACGCCTCGGTGCCACCCACCGGGTGAGACCATCCGGATCTTTCCACCGCGCCCTCCGGGCTGAGTGGTCCCCGCGATGGCCCACGGTCCTCCGTCGCCTGGTTGAACCCCCTGCCTCCCGGTTGACCCCCCGGTCCCCGTACTCGACCATGAAATAAACTCAAAGTCCACCACAGCCACCAGCCTCCACCTCCACCGTCAAGCCGCGATCGCTGCCGCCCGCGACGCCGCCCGCCGCGTCAGATCGCCTCGACGAGCGCACCGAGTCGAGTCGAAGAGCCGCACCGCACCAGCAGCAGCATCTGCACCACCAGCAGCAGCAGCAGCACCACCACCACCACCAAAGAGAGAAGCGCACCTGCCCGATGCCGCCCGCCTCGTCAGATGCTTGCGACGCGCGCCTCGAGCCCAGTCGCAGAGCCGCGCCGCGCCAGCAGCAGCATATGCACAGCAGCATCAGCAGCACCACCACCATCAGCAACAGAGACAGGCAGTGCAGGCGCACAAGCGCTTGCAGAGCGGCGCGCAGCCCCGCGCACGCCACGCTGCGGACCGTCGGACGAGCGCAGCGCATGTCGGCGGCGAGCCGCGTCGCCAGCCGTCTCGCGAGAGAGCCGCGCCGCCGCGTGCGCGCAGCAGCCGCCGCGGCAGAGGCGAGCCGCGGCGACGTCCGCACTAACGGATAACGGCCATTGGCGGTTTTTTCTCTCTCTCTCTCTCTCTCTCTCTCTGGAACGCGAATTTCTTTTTTCTCTCCGGCAAGAAACTCTCGCCGACAGCAGCCTTCCGCCCGACGCATGCCATCGCAGCGTCCGAGCGACACGCGTCGCCGCATCGCCCTCTCCGACGCCAAGAAGCCGGCCGCGCAGCACGCAGACAACCAGGACCTCGTCGACGCCTTCTGGGTCCTCGCGGACGCCACCTTCAAGGCGGAGCCGGAAAACGCCGGCACCAAGGGCTCGGCTTACCGCAAGGCGGCGCAGGCGTTTGCTGCCTGCCCGTTTACCGTCACTGATTCATCGGTCGACCTCAAGAAGAAGAAGCTGCCCAACGTCGGCAAGGCGTCGGTGGAGAAGATGGCAGCCTTCCGGGCGACTGGCTCTATCCCCAAGCTGGTGGCATATCAGGCAATACTTGACGAGGATTTTGAGGATGATGGCAGCGGTGGTGGCGGCAGTGGCGGAGGCGGCTCCGGCGACGGCGACAGCTCTGGCGGCGGCGGCGGCGGCGGCGGCGATGGTGGTGGCGGCGGCGGCGGCGGCAGTTGCAGCGGCAGCGGCAGCGGCAGCGGCGACAATGCAGAAGCGGGCAGCAGAAAGCGGCGTAAGGTGGGAACTGGGTGAACTGCATCTGCGGCTCTATGTGTGTGGTATAGCCCTCACCCCTCACCTGTTCAGCGCGCCCCACCTCGAGGCGCGAGCAGATCGCGGTAACATACGGACGGAGCTAACAGCTAAGTGCCTCTCCGTCCTCGCAGGAGTCAGCATAGGCGGCTGGACGTGGTGTACCTGTGTAAGTGCCAGTGCGCGCCAGTCCCGTGCGGCCCAGTGTTGTGCGAGAGAGTGTCGTAACATTCTTGTGAGCATGAAATTCTTCCTCTATTACACCGTCGTTGCGTTGTGTGGAGCACATGGAGCACTTTGCTCTTTGGAGCACATGGTAAGGCTACATTTCGTAACGATCGTCGCTATTGGCCATCTGCCTCCTGCAGCCTCTGTTGGGGCGGAATGCGCGGGGTTTTCGGCGCGATGCCTCCGGCTAGTACACGGTACTGCTCTGCCGCAAACTCTCCTGCGCTCGCGTGACGTGTGGGGCGCATGCACTGCGCTCGAAAGTCGCGATTTGGCAATAGGCGCTCGAGCCGGAGCGCAGTGGAGGGGGCGCCGCGCAGGGGGATGCGACAGCCCAAAATAACCAACAATACCATAACGCGAGGCGAGCAGGACGAATATGACCCGAGATCGACCCGAGATCGACCCGAGATCGACCCGAGATCGACCCAAGATCGACATGAGATCGACCAGAGGTCGACCCGAGAAGGCCCCTCTGGGGGGCAGATTGACTCAACAAGGCCCCATCTCTGGGTCATATTCGTGCCTGGCGCGATACCTGCGCGAAGCGGCGTGTTGAGCTGGCCAGACGGGATTGCCACCAGGTCTCGCTTGAGTAGCCTAGCAGCAATAGAGTAAGGGCGTGAGGCAGTGTTGTGTCCGCGATGTCGCTCGAATGAGGGCGTGGAAAGATGCGTGACCTGGGTACCGAATGCGCTCGTGGCTCGCCTCCGCGCCCGAGCGACAGGCGTCGGGCCTCAGACTGCACCCAGGGCCCGAGCCTCACGGCTTCGGACTCGGGCCGTCACGAGCTAGCCGGCCGCGGCACTTCGAATGGCCCCATGACGTGGCCGGAGGGCTAAATCTATTGTGGAACCAGTCTATTGGTGAGGCAAAAATCCGCCCGCCGCCACCCTCGCCTCACCCTCCCGCCGCCAAAACGCTCGTGTGTGTGTATCCCAAGGGGGGGAGCTGATCCCACTCATAACCAACTCTCAGGGGCAGTAGGTGGGCGAGCTTCAGGCGCGCCCATCTCGATCGTCAAGGCGTGGCTACGCGCGGTCTTCCGCGGGGGGAGCTTCGTCGACGGGTGCGGGAGCGCGGCGCAGCCAGTGCCGTGGCGATGCCTCCGGCTGTTTGCGGCGGGCGGCTTGCTGCTCGCTGCATGGCGAAAAACTCGTCTCGCCACACGCCAAGGGCTTATGCTCTGGCGAGACGTGAGGCGCATGCGCCCAGGATGGGAGGGGGCATGCGTAACGACACTGCTAGAGATGCCTTTCGGGGCCCAGAGACAAAACTTCTGTGATGCCATGCGTGACCTAGTAGTGTCCCCAGCTATGGGCGTGTCCACGTTGGAGCCAGGTGTGGTGTGGGCGCGAGAATAGCTCCGCCGTTCATGGAGGCAACCGATGCGAGTCGACTGGTGTGTGTCGTCGTGGTTTCGTATCAAGAATACTCACTCACACACACAAAACGCTCGCTCGCCGTCCGCTCGCCCGCCCGCGCCAGACCTTCTACCTTCTCGTGATCCGCCCGCCGCCACCCTCGCCTTCCCCTTCCGCCGCCTAACCGCTCGCTCGCTCCTATCCGTGCCACCCTATCCGTGGTCCTGCCGCCACCGCGCCATCCTCGCTCCTTCCTGCCGCCGCCCTAGCTGTGAACAGCAAAACGGGATTCTTTCTCGGAGTCGCTTAGGCGGCTCCCGTGGTGTACCTGTGTTAGTGCCAGTGCGAGCCAGTCCCGTGCCCAGTCCTGTGCCCAGTGTCGTGCGAGGGAGTTTTGTTGTAAAATTCTTTCTCGGGGACGCGACCAGGACGATCGATCGATGGCGATATCCGTCATCGACAACGGAGAAGCAGGACGCTACCGCGAGCCTGCTTCTGCCCGCGAGCCTGCAGTCACGTCCGCGGCCGCCTCCCTCGATGCGTTCGGCTGCACCTTCATTCTCGCGCCCGCAATGAGCGTTCGCATCTCTGCCGAGGACGCACTGCTGCTTTCTGCGTTCGCCGTCGCCGATTTATCGATACTCGTGGAGTCCGAATGCCAGGTTAGGGGCGGCGATTGGCAGGCCGTGGTCCCAAAGTTAGGCCCCGATGCCCGCCGAGTGCATGCCGAGGAGAATGCCGGCGGCGCGTCGGTCATCAGCGAGGCGCTATCGATGGAGGTGCTCTGCCGACTGCTCGGGGCGAGGCTGGTCTGCACCGAGCTCGAGCTGAGGTACTTCCCAGCGGCGGGTCCAATCACTGACTATGCCATCGCGCTGCGCGGCGGGGACGTGCTCGGCGTGTCGGTTACGCGCGCCTTCTCCTTCGGCGAGGCGGCACTGAGCGTGCCGCACGCCGCGGCGCTGCTCTCCAAGAAGCTGGTTTGCAGCCGGAATCAAGTGCTCACCTTCTCCCGACATCGCTTCAACTCGCCGCTTGTTCCCTCACTAGGCGGGCATCCTGCACTCGTCGCGCACGTGCTTCAACCAGAACCTGTCAAAGCAGATCCTGCACGTGTGGTGCGACGGAGCGGCGGACGTGGCAGCTCTCCACTCGACCTCCGGGTGAGCCTTTGAATCTTCCTGGGAATGCAACCCTCTCTCAACCTTGCTAGGCGCTGCTGCGGCTTGCCTTTGGCCTCGTCGGGCCAGAGCTGAGCGCGAGTACACTGGTGCGCAGAGCAAAGACGCGGCCCTGATACCATGAGCGTCTCTGCCGTTGCGAAATGAGCGCTGCGTCCTTGGGCTGGGTAGGTGCTCGTGACGCGATGCGAGAACCTGCCCGAGCTCTTTACGGAGAAGGGCAAGGCGCCACGCAAGCGGGCGCGGCCCCTGAAGGGCCTGAAGGACGAGGCTCATCTTGCTGCGCTGGCAGAGAGCTGCCCGCTGCGGCCGCAGCAGAGGCGAACGACCGCGGTCGACACGGCTCTCCGCGCGGGGTCACGACTGAGAGGGAAGAATTGAGACGCGCGGTTGAGCTGTGGTGAATCAGAAATGCTTTCAAGTTTCTCATATATATAACGTACCGCTCTCGAGGTACAGTAGAGCCGTACGGGGCTTTATACTAGAGTTCCGATTCCACACCTCGTCCCAACCCAATCAGACCTGCTAACCCCTTCCCGGCAGCGATCGCGCGCCTCCCCCAGCCCCGCGCTTCGCCGACCCCCCTAGCGACCCCACCGACCGCCTCTCCGCCGGCCTCACCTTGCCCTTGCGCCGACCACCGACCGCCCTCGCCGCTCCCTCGGCCGCCTCCTCGCCGCCACCGCGCGTCTCCTTTGGCCGCCGCCGCTTGGCGCCCGCGCCGCCGCTAGGCCGCGCCCCCCCCTCCTCCGCCACGGCGCCCCCCTTCGCCTCCGCCTCCGCCGCCGCCTCGCCTGCGCCCTCCCCTCCGTCGCCGCCCTCTGCTCCGCCTCCGGCGCCGCCCTCCGCCTCCTCCCGCTCCGCCTTGCGGCCGGAGCGCCGCTCCTTGTCGCGCTCGAGGAAGCCGGACTCGGTCAGCGCGATGAGCGCCTCCCTCCTCGCAGACGCAACCTCGGGCAGCGCCTTGAGCACCTCCGCCTCGGCAGGCTCGTGGGGCTGCAGCTTGGAGCCGATCCGCTCCTCGATGGCGAGCAGCACGTCGACGTCGTACTGCGTCACCAGCGTCACCGCGCGGCCCGCTCGCCCTGCGCGCGCGGTGCGGCCGCAGCGGTGGACGTAGTCGGGCGGCGCGGCGGGAACCTGTTCACAGCAGTAGGTGTGAAGAGACGCTGTTCACAGGTGGACGTAGTCGGGCGGCGCGGCGGGGACATTGTGGTTGATCACAACCTCGACAGCGGGGATGTCGAGGCCACGCGCTGCCACGTCCGTCGCAACGAGGATGGAGAGGGTCCCCTGCTTGAGACGGGAGACGGCCGCCGCGCGCCGCCGCTGCGGCTGCTGCGAGTGGAGGGGCGCACACTCCACCCCGAGACCAGACAGCATCGCCGCGAGCAGCTCGCAGGAGCGGCACGACGCGGTGAAGACGATGACGCTCTGCTCAGCCTCGACGCACTGCCGCAGGAGGTAGACGAGGTACGTGTCTCGCACCGCCGCCGGCACGAAGACGTACTGCTGCGTCAGCCTCCTCGCCACCGCATCCTGCGGCGCCAAGTCGGCGACAAAGGGGGTGCGCAGAGCAGACTCGCCGAGGGAGGAGAGTGCGCCGGACATGGTAGCCGAGAAGAGGAGGGTCTGGCGGCGGCGAGGGAGCGAGGAGAGGATGTGCTGGAGGTCGTCTGCGAAGCCGAGCTCGAGCAGCCGGTCCGCCTGTGCACACCCAACGCCGGCGTGTGAACAGAGCTTCTTCACAGCGCCCGCCTCGTCCGCCCGGCGCTCCTCGTCGATCACGACAAAGCGAAGCTTCGCGACGGCGGGGGCGACGTTTGACGAGCGGAGGTGGTCGGCGAAGCGGCCCGGCGTCGCGACGACGATGTGCGGCCGCTGAGACAGCTCCAGCGCCTGAGGCATCATGTCGGCGCCGCCGACGACGACGCAGACGCGAACACGCAGCGGCGCACCGAGCGCCGCAAACTGGTCGGCGATCTGGTGGGCGAGCTCTCGTGCGGGAGAGAGGACGAGCGCGAAGATGCCGTGCGGATCGGCCGACAGCGCCTGCAGGATCGGCAGCGCGAAGGCCGCAGTCTTGCCCGAGCCGGTCTCCGCCGAGCCGACTATGTCGCGTCCGTCGAGCGCCGGCTTGACGCAGGCGGCCTGGATGGGCGTTGGCTCGCGGAGGCCCATCTCGGCGCAGCTGGAGACGAGCCAGGGAGAGAGGCCGAGCGACTCCATCGTCCCGGCCCGCAAGCACAGAGGATCGGGTGGCGCGTAGTCACCGGCGGGGGTGGGGTTCCAGCCCGGGGTGAGTCCGCGCCCACCCCCGCAAAGCGCGCGATACGTGGAGGGAGCTCTTTACACTTTAGCAGGCACGGGACTGGCGCGCACTGCCACTGGCACAAAACTAGGTACACCACGAGAGCCGCCTAAGCAACTCCTGCCAGGACGGCGAGGCACTTACTTATGACTTAGGAGTTAGGTCTTAGCTCGTCCGTGCACTCGCCCGCCCCGGCCGCAGGCCGTAGCCCCTTCGTGCCTTCGGGCATTGAGGGAGAGGCGAGTGCTGTGCTATGTGACAGCCCAGCTGGCTGAGTGTCCCGCCGCCGCCGCCGCCGCCACGCCACCCACCTCTCCCCCGCGCCCGCTTCCGCCCGACGGCACGCCCCTCCTCCGCGCCTGCCGCCTCCGTCTGCCCGACCGCCCGCGCGTACGCCATTGCCGCCTCCACCGCCGTGTCGAAGGTGCCCAAGTGCGTCTCCCTTCCGTCCACACAATGCTGCACCTTGAAGCGGCCGCCCTTGGCGAACACGCGCTTGTAGCCGGTGGCGTTGCTGCTAGAGAGATGCAAGCGCAGTCCCTCCGCCTCCGCCGCCACCACCGGAGGAGGTTGGGCTGGAGGCTGGTACTCGCCGGCCGCCCGCGCGTATGCCACCGCCGCCTCCACCGCCGTGTCGAAGGTGCCGAAGCAAACGCGCTTCCCGTCCACCCTGGCCTCCGCCTTGAAGCGGGCACCGCTCTCGCGCACGCCCTTGTACCCGGTGCTGCTGCTGCTCGAGAGGTGCAGCCGCAGCCCCTCCGCCTCTGTCACGAGCGGCGCGGCGGGTGCAGCCTCCCTGTGCGTCGGAGGCGGCGTCGGCGGCGGCGAGGCGGTAGAGCCTGCTGAGCCCGCCGCCTCCTCGTCCGCCTCCGCCTCTTCCGGCTCCTCCACCTCCATCCCCTCGCCGCTCGCTCGCTCCTGCTCCTCCCACTCGCCCTCTCCCACCTCTCGCAGCATCTCGTGCAGCGAGACGTCCTCCAGCAGCTCGCCGTCGTCGCACTGCACCGAGTACAGGCTCGACGCGCCGTCAAAGCCCACGACCTCGCCCGGGTACAAGGCGCCGTCAGAGTACTCTACAGCGACGCGGTCTCCCACCTGGAAGTGCCTCTCCTCCTCGCCGCCACCGCTCCACCCGCCCTCCTCGCCACCCTCCTCCTCGCCACCTCCGTCGCCCTCCTCCGCCGGCATAGCCGCCGCCGCGCCTGCCGCCTCCGCCTGCCCGACCGCCCGCGCGTACGCCACCGCCGCCTCCACCGCCGTGCCGAAGTTGCCGATGACCTGCCTTCCTCCGTTGTAGCAGCGCGACGCTTGGAAGCGGCCTCCCCACGCAGTGGCGGTGTACACCCCCATGTAGCCGGTCGCGTTGCTGCTGGAGAGATGCAGACGCAAGCCCTCCGCCTCTGTCACGACCGCCGGAGGCTGGCACTCGCCGGCCGCCCGCGCGTACGCCACCGCCGCCTCCACCGCCGTGGCGAAGTAGCCGAGGTGGACCTGCTTTCCTCCCCCTGCGCTCTGCGCCGCCTGGAAGCGTACCCCTCGCCCGCCCTTGCGCACGCCCTTGTACCCGGTGCTGTTGCTGCTCGAGAGGTACAGTCGCAGCCCCTCCGCCCGTGTCACGACCGGCCGAGGAGCCTGCAGCCGCCGCGGCAGCGCGTCTGGCGCTGCGACTGGCGCTGAGTGCGACCCCCCGGCCGCCGCTGGAAGCTGCTCTGGCGCCTCCCCGACCGCCCGCGCGTAAACCACCGCCGCCTCCACCGCCGTGGCGAAAGCGCCCAAGTAGCACTGCCTTCCGTCCACCCTGCGGTATGCTTGGAAGCGGCCGCCCTTGCGGCTCACGTTCTCGTAGCCGGTTGCGTTGCTGCTGGAGAGATGCAGACGCAAGCCCTCCGCCTCCGTCGCCACCGTCGGAAGAGCCGGAGGCTGGTACTCGCCGGCCGCCCGCGCGTACGCCACCGCCGCCTCCACCGCCGTATCGAAGTAGCCGAGGTGGACCTGCTTTCCTCCTGCGCTGTGCGCCGCCTGGAAGCGGCCACCGCACTTGCGCACGCCCTTGTACCCGGTGCTGCTCGTGCCGCGCGTACTGCTGCTGGAGAGGTGCAGCCGCAGCCCCTCCGCCTCTGTCATGAGCGGCGCGGCGGCGGCGGAAACGGCCGCCGTGCCTGCGGCCTCCGCCTCGCCAACCGCCTTCGCGTACGCCACCGCCGCCTCCACCGCCGTATCGAAGCTGCCGAGGCGGCATTTCCTCCCATCCAGCGTGTGCCGCGCCACGAAGATTCCAGGGTACTGCTCCCACACGCCTCTGTACCCGGTGCTGCTGCTGCTCGAGAGGTGCAGCCGCAGCCCCTCCGCCTCCGCCACGAGCGGCGCGGCGGGTGCAGCCTCCCTGTGCGTCGGAGGCGGCGGCGTCTGTTGCGGCGAGGCGGTAGAGCTGTCCGCTGAGCCAGCCGCCTCCGCCTCCTCCGCCGTCTCTCCCTCCTCCGCGTCCTCCTCCACCGTCTCTCCCTCTGCGTCCTCCGCAACCCCTGCCGCCGCTGCCGCCCGCGCTGGCCCTCCCGAGCTCGACGCCTCCGCCTGCCCCGCCGCCTCCCTGTGTGCGTGTCCACCTGCCGCCTCCACCGCCGCCCTGGCCCGGCCCGCACGGCTAGCGAAGCGCTGCAGCGCCTCGATCAGCTCGTGCTCCTCCTGCGCAAGGGTAAGGCGAGGGGAGGGTGGGGCGCAGCCGGTGCCGAGGGGCGGTGCAGCGTCGAGGCGGTGTGGACGGCGATGAGGCTGGGCACACACCAAATCTTCTTCGTCGCCGTCCGCATGCCGGATGCGCCAAAGCGCGGGCTCGTCAGCCTCGCCCGGCGGCAGGTAGAGCTGAACCACGGCATGGACGTGCCCGTGGCCCTTGAGGCGCCGCAGCACCCTAGCCCCAACGCGAGGCCCGTCGCTGAGCCAGCCCGACTCGTCGGCCTCGGGCGCGGCGGGCGTGAGCTCGGATAGGTTGATGCGGACGCTGCCGCTGCTGTGTGCCTGGGAAGCTGCAGGCGCTGCTGCACTGACTACGGCTCTGCTGCTGTTTCGGCTGCTCGGCCACGCCCAGCGGCAGACGTGTCCACGCTTTCGCGCTCCACAGTAGGGGCAGAGCGACCTGTCTGGATGCAGCCCGCTAGACTCGGCCTGGTAGCGAAAGGACGTGTTGGAGATGGGAAACATGGCAGGCAGGGTACGGTTCGAGATCGTTCAACTTTCTACCGGCGCGCTCGAGCGCGCCATTCGAGCAGCAACCGGAGAAAAAAGTAAATTTGCGGCGAAATGGATCGGCTAGGGTATGAACAGGAGCGAGTTCGCGCTGCGCTAGGCTCAGACGGCGTGTTCGCGCTGCGCTAGGCTCAGTACGGCGAGTTCGCGCTCTGCACCGCGACTCCGCTAGCCGCCTAGCGGCAGGCTCTCTTGCGGAGAATTTATCTCTCGGCTGCGTTGGCTCGCCAAAGTCTTTGTTCTCGTTGGCGCTGGGTCCGCTGACTGGGGTGGGTGGGTGTGCGTGTTTTGTAGAGAAGCAAAAACGCACGTCGTCCGGGTTCTGTCGTGTGCGTCGAGCGTGCGGGCGGAGAGGCGAGGCCCCGCCCCAGGAGGTGCGGCGGCCGGCGCCGCCATCGGGCCCGCCCCCGCCACCACCACCTCCGCCCCCGCCGCTGGAGCGACCGCTGGGTCGAGGAGCCGCCCCTGAGGTTCTGCACCAAGCGGTGCGGCCGCCAGTGCCGCCATCGTTTCCGCCACCCACACTGCCATTTCCACCCCCGCCACTGGAACGGCTGCAGGGTCGTGGGGCCGCCCCAGCGGCTCCACACCAGACGTTTGGGCCGCGAGGGCCGCCACCGTACCCGCCGCCCCTGCCACCGCCTCCACCCCCGCCGCCGGCGGGGCCGCCGCCGTATGGACCCGCTCGGAATAACCTGGGGGGTCCGAGACCGCCCCGCCGGAGGCTGGTGTATCCGGGCGGAGGAGATGGGGGAGGGGGGTTACCGCGGTACGATAGTGGGCCCACCGGCGAGCCGGAGGGCCGTGACCGGAGGGCCCCGGAAGGGGCTTGGGGTCAGTTGTCGGAGGAGGCGAGAGATGAGCTGACGCGGCCTCTAAGAGTGGAGTCGGGACGTACGGGCTCACCAGGGGAAGGCCAGTCGCAGTGGCAACCGGACCACCACGACCTTCCACAGGGAGGGCCACGCCCCCCCGAGCCTGGAGAGGAGCCGGCGGAAGGGGGGGGCGAGCCGAGGACGATAGAGAGGCCGCGGGTGCGGGCGCGAGACAACCAGGGAGAGCGGGCTCGACCCCCCGGGGGTGGAACTGGTCGCGACCCAATGCCACCGTTCTCGCCCGGGGTGACCCCGGCCGGGCCGCCGACACTCTCAGAACCGGTGGAGCTGGGAGAGGCTAGCGAAGACGAAAGGCGGCAGCGGAGGAAGCGACACCAACAACGAGGGAAACGACCACACCGGCCGTCGTATGACGCTCGGCAAGCGAGCAAGAGAGCGAATCGGGGAGAACCGGAGCCCCGGGAGGACCGAAGGTGGAGCCCCGGGACCGAGGACTAAGCAAGTGTCTGTTTGGGCGTGGTGTCCAGTGTAATGTCCACTAGCTCCGAGTAGAGGGGGCGTCCTGCAGTTAAGGGGAAACCCGGTACGCGGGTCCAACCCTCGGAGAACTGTGTTTACTTTAAGGCCCTTGCCCTGCGAACGCGCACCCCCGGGGCTAGGGCTCTCTAGCCCGTAACCCGATGCCAATCATCCGGCCCGCTGGGTGCGCTTCTGAGCTCCCCGGCCCTGGATGTGCGGTTGATGACTGCACTCCAAGTGCTCCAAGTGTCCAAGCACCAAGGTGACCTGCATGCTGCAAGGACGAAAAGTGGACGCGCGCTCCCGCTCGATCTCGATCTCGACGCTCGAGAGCGGTCGACCGAGCCGCGAGGGGGCGAGCGGCGAGGAGCTGGGGCGTGGGGAGCGACACACCAGCGTGCACAGCGACCGAGCGAGGCTGCGAGCGAGGCTCACGACACACGAGGTAAGGTAAGGTAACGTATAGAGAGAGAATTCTTGATACGAAACCACGACGACACACACCAGTCGACTCGCATCGGTTGTCTTCTCTCTCTCTCTCTCTCTGGTAACGTATAAAGGTAGATTTCTCCACACACACAAAGTGGTGGGGCAAGGGGGGGGGCGACCCTCGGCCTCGCATCTCCACACCCGGACACGGGCAGGAGCCCCACGGCATTGAAAGTGCAAGCACTCCCGGAGCACGTGGGTGAGCAGCCTGCCCCTCCCTCCCGTGGTGCGTGGACAACTGGAGAAACCATAAGCATAAATGATAAAAACCCAACTCGCCCGGTCCCGCTCACGCGAGCGAGCCGCCTTTTTCGACGGATTATTCGTTTGGAGTGCACTCTCTCTCCCCGCCCCGCTCCTCAAACGACATACACTCGCGCGCCCACAAAAGACTCTCACAGCCTCAGGGAGCTATCCTCTGACCCCCTCAACCCTATCCCCTCCAGCCGCCAAATCGCAGCAGTTGGGCTCGCCACTCCTCACACCGGCGGCCCGAGCCGCAGGGGTGAGGACGCACGCACAGAGGCCGGCCTCCGGCCGCCCCAAGGGCACGGAGAGGGGCGAGGCCCGCGCCGCCGCTCTACCAACCCGCTCGCCACGCAGCAGCCTGGCACAACGACAACTCGCCTCCACGATCGCCGCCTAGTGGCCGCCCTCCTTCTCGCCGGGGACGGGGCCAGCGTACGTGCCCGCCTCGCGCTGCGCCTCCCATCGCTCGAACTGCCGGGGCGAGAGGGAGGGAGTGAGCGCCGCGGGCCAAAGAGCTGCGGGCGTTGCGGTCCCCCCGCCGGGCAAGTTCATCGGGAGCGGACAGAAGTGCGAAGCAGCGAAGGGGATTTGGGGGGAGGGTTGGGTGGGGCGGGTGGGC